ATGACCTACTTAAGTAGTGAAAGACAAATACTTTTTTTTCTTATTGAATAATTATATTTATTTCTTACATTATATGTCTCCTCTTCTTATTATACTGTAAGCACATTATGCATAATTGAACCACTGCCATAACTAAGATACAAATACACATTTTATACCCATTGCTAGCATCTATTGTATCAATTATATAAATTTAGTTTTCGAGTCGAAACTCTCCCGGCCAACGGCCCGGGTCCGGTGCTAGTTTTCTTAAGAGCTAAAAAGGAAAAGAAAATTAAATCACAATCCTTGTCATCCCCTCTTTCGTCTTACCCTTCCACTTCTCCTTCTTCTCCTCTACTCGCCGTCGTCCGAATCATCTGAAAGAAATCCCAAACCCTCGAGACGTCCTCTCAACCTTCCTATGTTCTTCGTCCAGGAAGCGCCACTCCGTCGCCATGTTGATCGAGGGCAACAACATCAAGCTCGCCTCTGCCGGATTTGGGAGCGTTACGCCAACTGTGGATCTCGCAATTGAAGCCGGTGTTGGGGATCCCGCCATCTCCCCCACAGCCGTTGCCGCCTTATGTGAAGCTATCTTCCCTCGCAGGCCCCATCCATCCGAGCTTAGGCAGCATCCGTCTCGCTTCCGTCTCCCTAGCCGGCAATCGCCTCGATGGCTCAATCCCTCCTTCATTGTCGACCCACCAAACCTCCAGCTCCTCTCGAAATTCCCTTACAGGAACCATCTTCATCCCTAAATCACCCAGTCCTGCATTGGTACAGTCTATCGACCCCAGCCACAACTTGCTATCCGGCCAAATCCCTACCAACAAAATCACGAGTAGCTTGTTGGCGGTTAAGAAGCTAAGCCATGCCAACTTCAAGGGTAACAGACTCTGTGGAGAGATTTCGCGTGCTTCTTCAGTTTCACCGACCTGTTCAGCTTCCACACATTGGATGGTGTCGACGACTTCTCAAACATCCCTTCCTTTTCTATCATCATCACCCCTTTCTTCCGCATCCAATTCGTCGTCTACTGTGGAGGGGAATGAGTCGTCGTGGTTGAGATTGAAATTGAGGGCGGCGAAGGAAGGGGATGGGTTTTGGTTGTGGGCAAAAGAGGTTGATGGTGGCGACTCCGCCCCTCTTTCTCTCTAACCCAGATCCCCAATTCTCCAATTCGAAAGACGCGACTTCTGAGAGCGAAAGGTGTTCTGAGGCGGAGGATGGCGACAATGCGTGGGGGTGGTAGGGACTGTGATAATGCGGGTGTCGCCGCCGGCGTAGAAGAGAGAATTGGTTCAAGGGCGTGGGATTATCTGGCCTCTGTAACTACATGAGGCAGCTTAGACCCGTCGGTAGTTGTAGCCGGCGGGGCAGTGGAAGGCGATGGCACCATTTCCAGAGGTCGGCGATGGATGGAAGAGGAAAGGGAATATAGAAATTGTACTGTTAATTGGGTTGGGCGAGGCTGACCAGGCGGTCAAAACGTTTTTAAAAAAAAATTACATGTCACTAAGTTAACGGTCCAGTCAGCATTTTTGTTTGCCACATCATCAGAAAACTGACGGAGTGAACGGTGTCTAACGGAAACTAACGATCGGTGACCAACGGTGAAACGATTCTTGTAACTGTGCAAAAAAAAGTAATTCGAGTGGAAAGAAAAGTAATCCGAGTGGCTAACGTGAAATATTTATGTAATTCGAGTGACCAAACGTGTAATTTAGTCCTTCTAAAAATATATCAAAGTAGATATCAATTTGAAGAGCACAATTAATCTGATCTAACTGTGCAAAAAAAATTAAATTTCGACTTAAAACGAGTGAGAAATCGTACGTCAAAGATTAAGGAGAGGAAAATTAAAGGCTTTCGAGGAGAGAGGGATGCTGATGTCATGCGGATGTGGACGGGTTACTCATGGTTACTCACCATAAGGTTACTGACCTGATTCCGGAGACAACATTGTTTGACAATTCAATGGCGAAAAAAAGCGACCATAATACTAGATTCTTTTATCCTAGTTTTTACCTGATCCGTTAGTCGGATGAATTTTTTTTATATTTTATGTTGATCAATTTTTTCATGCTTTTAAATAATTTGAGTTTTTTTAAAATAGTTAATTAATTATTTCAAAGTAATATTTATGATATTTGTTGATTATGATATTAGTGATAATTAGTTAATATGTATTTTTTATCAAGTCCTTCTAGTGTACTGTTGTGTATTTTTTCGTATCTTAGAAGAAATTTGTGGCCTTTTTGTTGTGGAATATGAATTTGGAGTTGGAAAGAAATATATGTCATCTAAAATTGGTAGGAATTTAAGGTATATTAAAATCAAGAGAATAACGAAAAGATTATATCTAGAAATCTCAAATATGGAAGAACACGAATAAAATCATGCTTGTTGGTATAAATTATTATAATTTAGTGTATAGGCTTGTTCGACTAATAAGTGGGGGATGTTAAGTGTTTGATACTAATGCACGTACAAAAGTTAAGAAAATCCAAACATTATTAAACCTTAAATTCTACTCTACCAACGATTTTTTTAGTTTTTTGTGGAGTTAATAGCATAAATTGGCACTCTATTATCCATTTTTCTCAAATTTATCCTCTAGTATTTTTCACATCAAACATGTCGGCATACTATATAGTATATATGTATTAACAATTTAAATTTACCCCCATTTATGGCTTATCTTCTTCGTTTGCAACTCTCAATAATTAATAGCCACAATCCCATCATCCATCTGTTCTGCTTTCTCTTCCTTCGACCCAACAATAAATAAACGCAAAAACTTATCTGTCACGAAAGACCTTGAAGACCGACTTTTAATTTCAACCACTCTCTGACAGTCCTCAATTGTTGATCAATTTGACTCGATTATCAAAATTGGAACCCAAATTTTTTGAATATCTGGATTTCAAAGTATCAAAAGTTGTCAACCCGGTTTAGACTATTGGTTTGGTCGATTAAGTGAATTGAGGGTTAATGGTCCAATCGTTTTACTCCACTTTTGCCCGGATTTATGAAAAATATTATACTGTTCATATATTTATAAAGGGTTATAGGTATAATATGTCAATCTACTATGTCGTTTTATCAAACATGCCCCTCTACTATTTTTTATATCAAACATGCCCTTCTACTATGGAAAAATTATCAAACATGCCATTCTTATAAAATTTCTATCCAAAAACCGTTAACCATGGTCGAACTTTGATTTGGGCGACACAAATGTCTAAACTATCCATAATAATTTGACTTTATAATTTTTTTGTTCCTTTGTATAGTCAAATAATTCTAATATTTCACTTTGACGAGACCCAAAAAATAAAAATAGGGGACTAAACTGACATTTCGTCTCTCATTTGCTGATGTAGGGTCGTCTAAATATCGGTTCAACCATGATTGATGATTTTTTCAATGAAAATTTTAACAAAAGTGCATGTTTGATAATTTTTCCTAAGTACAAGGGCATATTTGATGTAAAAAATATTAGAGGGGCATGTTTGATAAAACGCATAATAGAGTGACATATTATACCTTTAACCCATTTATAAATTGTATAAAATCTCATCTCTACACATGGATAATATTCTTCCTCGCCCGGACTATCTACATTTGTTTCTCTATCTGTTGCTTTCCACTATCCTCCTTCGAGCTCTTAAAAAAGCACTCCAACAACATGTATTCATCACGCGATAAAAGCCGCACTCCTATTAACTCAAGTTGTTTTTTATGTGGGTAAAATATATCAGGTACCACTTAAGTTTGACAATTGAGGTAGACATATCACTTAACTTTGAATAGGGTTTCGGGTACCACTGAACTCTATTATATGGTCACCCGGTACCACTTAAGTTTACTATTAAGTGCATTCCGTTAACGTTGACAGAATATTCTTGAAATATTACATTTTCTATATTTCAGAATTGGTCCTCCTACTTGTCTTATTGTAAAAAATCATTTGGACTTATGAGAAACATCATTTTTTTATTATTTGGTTGGAATCCTCTAAACAATATATCCTTTGAATTTTGTCTCAATATAAATAATATGAGGATGTTATATTTAACTCTCTTACGTCATGATGATGTAGTCTAATTTAAATGTTAAATTTCATTGTAATTCTCTAATATTATATTGCAGATATTTCGTATTAGTTATTTTACTAATTTTAATTCTATTTCTATAGCTACATCCTTTTCTTAGATCTGTTACTGTATGTTGTAGCTTTTATAGTTCACTTATTACTTGGTTATTTTTCGACTCTTCTCGTTCAATTTTTTTTCAATTACTAGAATATATTTAATTATTTCCTATTGTGTTCCATTTATCTTTCTTTGATCTTGATGTATTAATGGTCGATTAGGTTCTATTAGGGGTTTAAATATATATTCTAATATTGTTTTTAAATATTTTTTATTATCTTTTTACATATTTATTACTCCTTTTTATATCTGTTTATTATTTTTAATAATTTATCTATTTATTGAAAAAATTTCATTAATCATTCTATTAATATTATGTATAGAATTTTTCTAATTTGTATATTAGTTAATGTTTGTTGAAATATAGTTTAAAATGTTTTTAAAAGTTCTGGGTATCAAAAGGTATTTAAAAATTTGGGTTGGATGGAAAACTAGATGGATGCGTCTTTTGAAGATTTTAATGATATCCAACGTCCTATTCAAAATTAAGTGATATATCTACCCCAATTTTCAAACTTAAATGATAGCCGAGATATTTTATCTTTCTTCCGTCCGAATGATCACTTGCCTAGCTACTCCCAAAATCACTTCGGCTGCATTAATTAAAGCCCGCCTTAGAACCATCCGCCACCAGAGTTGGCAGAGTACTATAATACACTCCTACCTGTGATACAAACAAAAACTGTGAAAGGGAAAGGAGAGGTTGCCTGCCAGAGTACCAAATGAGAGCATAACTAATGACTCCTCGTCGGCTGTTTATGGGCTTTGGTTCTTATAAAAATGCCAATGGCATGCAACTCTTATTCTCGGTACACCACGAAGGAAAACCAAAACAACTCATATTATAGCCAACCATGGAGAAGTATAGCGACGAATCTTCTGCTCGCAAAGTAGCAGCTGCGTGGATAACCCTCGTTGCGCTGTTAGGCTATGCTTGCGCCGGCGCTGAAGCGCAGTGCGGCAGTGAAGCGCCTGTCGATACCGTGACTTGTCATCGCTACGAGAACTGCGTGGAGAGAGTTATCACTTCGCTGCAGAATGCAACGCCCGACAAAACGGGCTTCAGTTACACCAGGATATACCCGCGTGGCACCTACGACGGCGTTAAAGGTTCCGCCAGTTGTGTGGCGGGGACCGACATCCCACACTGCCAACAGTGTCTTGTTGGGGCCAAGGCGGCGCTGGACGACTGCAAATCTTACGCCGCTGCTGGCTCTTTCATCGGCGACGTCTGTACCATGTCATATGCCCAGTTCCTCCCTCGCCACTGACAGTTTAGTACTGCTATATATGTATTCCTGATGCAAAACGGTCTTAACAATGCCAGCTCTATGGAACTGATCAATGACAAGCTACCTAGGCGGCTTGGTAACAATAATAGCATTGTGTTTATCTCTACCCGCCGACGCACTTTCGAATTTCTTTTTTGTGCCTTTCAAGTTGTTTTACATAAGTACTTTTCTGTTCATCATTACTAGTTATCACCATTCCCATCTGTACAGCTGTACTTCTAAGATTCTCACATCTAAACATGGTCGGTGCAACGAAATGATTTGAGGTGGGTTTTTTTTTTCTATTGCTTCTTAGTTTTATTCATTAATTAATGAGCTGGTATTATGTTTGGTGAGGTGGAAAAATAACAATAGGATTTTTTTTGTTTTTTTATTGCCACATTATTAAATTAACAAGTTGACTGCCATATAGAATGAACTTAATACAATTTGACGGTTAATGATCAATGATGAAACGATGTTTAGAGTAAATTATTAGTAAGAAAGAAGAAAAACCAATGTCACCACTATAAAAAAAATTAAGAAAGAAAAAATGAGTGGTTATCTCTGCATTAATCTGTCGTGCATATCTATATCAATCTACCAACCCTGCTAACACCATTACAAATGACCCGAGTGAAAGATATTGGAGTGATGATGTGAATCAGCAACAACAGCAGCTCGCCCGTCATTGATCACTATGCATCAAGCTGCTGCAGTAAGGATGAAGGCAAGCTCCCCACCAAGTGCAGATAGTGTTCTAGTCGGAGCGACGTCGTTCTTCTTCTATCCAGAAATAGGGATTGGAGCGAAACGTTGTCGTTCCATTGTGTGAAGAAACGTGGAACTCCAAGCCATTCATCAACGCTGCCATTTTGTTTAATCGCTGTTAGATGTTAGTTAGCCAGCTGTATAGGTTTTATTGGTTAGTTTGAGTTGTTAGTTTTTACTGTAGATTAGTCGTTGCTAATCAACTTTACCTTCTTTGTACAGCCTTGTATATAAATGAAAATCCAAAACCAGGGAGCTCTCAGTTGAGAATCCTTCGACAAAACCCTATCTATTCATTTTCTTCTCATGGTATCAGAGCCTGGTTGCTCTATACCTTAGATCTCAACCAATTTTTGATCGATTATAGTGATTCCCTTTCACAATGTCTATCCCTCCTCCTGGCGTCGATGGCCATGTCTCTGATGGCTCCGATTCGTCTGAATCTGGAAACCTAGGTCAGACTTGTTCCACTCCGCCGCTGATTCCAGCACAGCCTCTTCAAACCCTACCACAGGTGCCGCCTCAGGTACCCAGATATGAGGATCCATACCTCAATCCTTATTACCTCCCTCCTCACGATGGAGGCTTGACCACCATCATCTCCATGAAGTTGACTGACCAGAACTACAATCTCTGGAGTCAGATGATGGAGCTTGCTCTGAACACTAAAAACAAGCTCCAGTTCGTCAATGGTATGATCCCTGTTCCTCAACCCACTGATCCAATTTGGCAATCTTGGCATTGCTGTGATAGTACAGTGTGATGCTGGATATACAACTCTCTTTCTGATGATATTGCGAACAGTGTGGTGCCCTTTCGTGTTGCTAAAGAAGTGTGGGATAATCTGCGAGACAGATTTAGTCAAGAAGACTATATTAGGGTGTATGAACTCAAAGAGCAAGTTTCTAAGCTTGTTCAGGGAGATCTAACTGTTTCACAGTATTACACAGCGCTCACTACAAAGTGGCAAGAATACAAAATGTATAGACCACTTACCTGCTGCCCTTGCCCTAATAGTCCATACCACACTATAACCAGATATCAGGAGGAAGATTTTATCATCAAATTCATGCAGGGGTTCAATGATATATACCAATCTGCACGTACTCAGGTCCTTAAGAGTGCCCATGCCCTTGCCCTAATAGTCCATTTACCCTAATAGTCCATTTACCCAGTATTGAGTCTGTTTTCAAACAGATGGTTCAACTTGAGCAACATCTCAAGGGTTCTGCTACTAAGCCTTGAGTGAATTCTTTGGCAATGTTAGCACAAGGGTCTTCATCTCCTGGACGCCCAAATACTACTGCACAAAATCCTCAAGATTATACCACTGAAGCGAAGAAATGGTGCCGTTATTGCAAAAAGGAAAACCATACCATCCAGGAGTGTTAAAGGGTGAAGAAGAAGAAATCTAGGGAGAGTACAGATGGTACTCCTTTTGTTGGTGCTGTTGATGTTTCTGGTTCTGATGGGAGTAGCAATGCTAGCTCTGTGGCAACAGGATCAGAACCGTCTTTGAGTTCCCTACTTACTCCTGATGAGTTTGAGAAGCTCAGGACTCTTCTGAATGGGTCTCCTTCTCCATCACCTTCACCTCTCAGCTCACCTCATCTGCCTAATGTCAATACAGTGATCAGGGCACCACCACAAACACCTCATTTTGCAGCCAGCACCTCAGGTACTACTTCCTTGTCTCCAACCTTGAATGGAACAGTCTAGTGTTAGATACAAGTGCTACAGACCACATTATATGTAACATGTCTACCTTTATCAAGTATATACCTATGGAAGGTGTTAATGTGTCTCTACCTAATGGACATCATGTAAAAGCCACTCATATAGGCATAGTCAAGTTACCTTGTGGATTGTTTCTTACCCAAGTCCTCTTTATTCCATCCTTTACTTACAATCTTGTTTCTGTAAGTAAATTAACCAAAAATCATCCTGTCTCACTAGTCTTCCAATCCAATTTTTGTAACATTCAGGACCTTATTACTCAGAGGAAGATTGGTTTAGCACAAGTTGATAAGGGTCTCTACCTCTTTTCTGATTCCAAGCTTCAAGAATTGCATTCCCCAGTTCATTCTTCCAGCTTCGCCGTAGGAGTTTCCAGTTCCAAGTCTTCTACTTCTGATATTTGGCATGCCAGACTAGGCCATCCCTCTTTGTCTAGGATGCAAGTTGTTAAACATGTTTGTAATGATGTTATTCTTCCTTCTTCCAAACATTGTGAGACTTGTCACTTGTCTAAACAAAAAAGGCTTCCATTTCCCAACATCACTTCTGTCAGCTCAGAAGCTTTTTCTTTACTTCACGTTGATATCTGGGGACCCTTGAATACTACTTCCAGAGAAGGTTACTCATATTTCCTTACCATTGTTGACGATCACACTAGAGCTATTTGGGTATTTTTAATAAAATCCAAACCTGAAGCCAACCCTCTCTTACAATCCTTCTGTATAATGGTTAAAACCCAATTTTCCCAATCCATCAAAACCATTCGCACTGATCAGGGTAAGGAATTCCACATGGCTGGCTTTTATCACAGTCATGGGATTACTCATGAGATGAGCTGCGTTTACACAGCTCAACAAAATGGTCGCGTTGAGCGCAAACATCAGCATTTACTCAACGTGGCTCGATCACTCAAATTCCACTCAGGTCTTCCCCTTTCTTTTTGGGGTGACTTTGTTTTGCACGCAGCCTATCTCATTAATTGAACTCCAACACCACTTCTTAACCACAAATCACCTTATGAAATGCTTTACCATGTCCCTCCTGATTACTTGAGACTGCGTGTCTTTGGCTGCCTGCCTTATGCCACTGCTGTTGGGGGTCATAAGACAAAATTTGAACCCCGTGCCAAGAAATGCATCTTCCTTGGCATTCCCACTGGCATTAAAGGCTTTAAACTCCTTGACCTTGACTTTGATCAAGTCTTTATCAGTCGTCATGTCTTTTTCCATGAAGACATCTTCCATTCAAACAGTCCCAACCTACCAATCCTACACCTCATTCTCCTATTCCTTCTCCTCCACCTTTTGTTGATGATGATGTTTTCCATTATCTTCTACTGATATTCCTACAACTTCCTCTCCTCCTGCTGCTCCTCACTATCCATCTGACTCTGATAGTGACAATGAACAACTTCCTCCTTCACCTAGTCCCTATCACAATCCATCTCCTTCTTCTTCCATCCCTTCCACCTCTGCCAAACCTGTAGTTCCCCCTAGGAAATCCACAAGGGTACCTGTCTTTCCTAAGAAATATGATGACTTTTATGTTGGTTCAGTCCAAGTCACTATGTCCCATCTCACTCCTCCTCAGCAACATTTTTCTCTTACTCTACTCACCAATGAGGAGCCAGTGAGCTATGCTGAAGCTGCCAGAGATCCTAGATGGAATGCAGCCATGAATGAAGAGTTCATCGCACTCCAAGCTAATGACATGGGACATTACTGACATACCTGTGGGGTTAAGCCAATTGGCTCCAAATGGGTGTACAAAACAAAGTACAAGTCAGATGGAGCCTTAGAAAGGTTTAAGGCAAGGGTAGTTGCTAAAGGCTATACCCAAATATATGGAATTGACTATTGTGATACCTACTCACCAGTGGCTAAGATCACTTCAGTTAAGATGTTATTGGTTGTTGCTTCTGTTCAGAAATGAAATTTACACCAAATGGACGTTAATAATGCATTTCTGAATGGAGAGCTTGATGAAGTGGTCTATATAGAATTGCTACCTGGATTAAGGGATCTACCTGAGTACAAAGGAAAGGTTTGCAGACTCAAGAAGTCTCTTTATGGGCTGAAACAAGCCAGTTGAATGTGGTATTCAAAGTTAACTGAGTCCTTACTCAGTAATGGTTTCAAACAGTCTCTTGCAGATTATTTCATCTTCCTTTCCACGGTTCAGGGGCATTTAGTTGTTTTAATTGTCTATGTTGATGATATAGTGGTTGGCAATGCTAGCCTTGAGGCAGTGAAGGAAGTTAAAAGAATACTGATGTCCTTGTTTAAGATGAAAGATCTGGGAGAATTACAGTACTTCCTTGGTCTGGAAGTTAGCAGATAAGACAAGGGGATTCATGTATGCCAACGAAAATACTGCATTGAACTCTTAAAGGAGGTTGGCTTTGATGAATGCAAGTCAGCAAAGACCCCATCAAGTGTCAAACAAGTCCTCTCTGCCTCAGATGGGGAACCTTATCTTGATATCCCCTTGTTTAAGCATCTTCTTGGACAGCTTCAGTACTTGAACAGCACCAGACCCGATATAACCTTTGTTGTGCAACAGTTGTGTCAATTTCAAGATGGTCCAACAACTGTACACAACAAGGCATTACATA